ACCACCTGATTACATTTCGTGCTAAGCAGGCGCAGCAAACGAGTACATACCCGAATTTCATATTAATACCGTAAACTTTGTAAATGCACTGTCTTTATGTTCAGGTTAGGTTAAGTTTTAGTGCCAACCACGTGGTCAATTATGAGGCCTTTCGTAAGGCCTTGCCCCCTACGTAGGACCCTAAAACGGAGGGCGTTTTGGCAGAAAGGCACAATAGGTAGTGATTTCCGGGGAGTCGTTCTAAGTTTCGACGGTGCCGCAAAACTCTTCACCAAGAAAGGAAGCTGCGGTTATGGGTTACGGCAGCTACCCGGTTGGAAGGCTCTGAAACCGAAAGGTTTCCTTTCGGAGAATGTCACTGTAAATGCTTCCGAGTATCATAGACTTCTCAAAGGACTTGAGATGGCTATCGAAATGAAGCTGCAAACTATGGTAGTGGTTGGAGATTCTCGAATTGTTATTCAACAGGTTCAAGGATTGATCAACTGCAATCAACCACATTTCCAAAAGCATCTTGCAAATGTCGAGCTACTAAAAGAGAAGTTTGGGTCGTTACGTCTAGTACATCTGAAGCGGTAACATACCCAGGATGCAGATTATTTGACCATGAAGACTTTGATTCTGGATGAGTCATGGGACGTTACGGACACGGAGGAGATTGCACATTTGAACACGTGTCAAAGATCGCATAGAAATTCATGAAGGTGGAAGATTTCGAGTTAAAATCTGCAGTTGATCCAACTTCTGGGGAGACACTGTCAAGGGATGCTGAACATCCCACTGCGGAGTCAGCTCCATTGACGAAATCGGCTCGCGTACTTGCAACAGTAACGCGTTTCAGAAACCAAGCCGAACCAACTCCGAGGAATCGACCCATGGACTCGTTGGAGTTCTAGGCTGAACGATGGCGAAGCATTCGCGTCCATCAAGACGCGGATGCGTATCTGGCAGAGATCAAGAAATTTCTGAAGGAGGACTTCCAGAAGTTTTCACTCAGGACGCTGAGGAAAGTCGCCAAAGTTGCTGACCTATTTGTACTTGACACTCGAAATATGTTGTATCGACTAGCTCGCTCGACTCGTGATCGCCCGCGTGACTTTCAGAATGAACCTCGACTTTTCGTTCCAAATGCACTTCGAGACGATGTCGTGCACTACGGACATGAAGATTTCCAAGGAGGTCACCAAGGCATAACCAGGACACACAAGAAGTTGTGTTCGGAATTCTACTGGCCGGGTATGTAAACAGACGTAGAACACTTTGTGAAAGAGTGCGTTGAATGTGTGAGTGAAAAGAAAACTCTCCAAACGCTGGACCATCACCTGGGAATATCGAACCCCGACAACCTTTTGAAGTCGTGTCGATAGACTTCGTGACGCCGATGCCAAAGTCAGATCGAGGGAACACGTTTCTGCTACTATATATGTTTTCTGGATATGTAATGTGTAAACCAATGGATTCGACCACCGATCAGGATGTCGCGGAAGCTTACGAGGAACGTGTATTTCGGAACTTCGGAGCAAGTTCAATGATTCGGCACGATCAAGACCCCCACTTCATGAGCGAGGTATTTACTCGTTTCCGGGAACTTTTGAATAGTCATCAGAGAGTCACTTTGGGATACCGACCTCAAGCGAACGGGCAAGAGGAACGATCTGTCCAAACGGTTGTCAGGAGTATCCGCGCCTACATTGAGCAGGCCGACCAAAGTGACTGGGACGACCATGCAGAAAGATTGATGTTTGCTCTGAACACTTCGTTTGACGCGACACGTTTGGATACCCCGTTGTACTTGATCCATAGTTGGGACCCACAAAGCACTCTGAAAGCGGTGGTAGGCCCGACGCCATTGAGTGCTCCAGAACGTACGGCTTATGAATAGAGATGCAAGGTTCAGTGAGACTACAGTTATGCAAAAGCCTGTGCCGAGGACTTACAGAAAAAAGCTCGACGACATCGTTCCGATGTCCAAACGCGAAAGTGGAAAGAATTGTCCGAACGTCTGAAATCAGGATTCCAGAAAGATGACGCTGTATGGTTGTACATTCCAAAAAGGCAGACCGGACTAAGTAAAAAGTTGGCACACTTATGACATGGACCGTTTTGAATCGATGAAGTGCTGGACGATTTCCGACAAAAGTTGAAGATCGACAGCACTGGTTACCGGGTCAATCCATGGGTTCATATCAGCCGTCTGAAGCCAAGAGTCTTGTTTCCCAAAAGGTCAATAGTTGCTGTAGATGTCGATGAAGAAAACGATTTCGATGCTGCACTACTTTTAGAAGACAGTTGGGGAGCCGACGCCCAAAAGAATAAGTATGAAGTGGAGAAGATTTTAGACCTTCGATGGTCCAAAAGAAATCGGACCTCTAAAAGGCGTCGGGAGTACCTTGTCAAATGGAGGTGTTATGCCGATCACGAATGGCTTCCTATATCCCAACTGAATTGTGGAGCACTACTCTATGAGTTCAACCAAGGTGCACGCGCTCGATCCCGCCTTCGGAGTATGCGTGCGATCACCCTAGAAACTAACTTTTCGAAAGATGATCAAAGTGTTGTATCTATGTGTGGAATGATAGAAGCAGTTGTGAGAATTGTTTCAGACCCAGACATTGGAAGGTATAAGACTTCTGATAACGAGTTCGGAAGACATAAAGGAAAGTGAAGGAAATGCTGATATATTTTGGAGAGTTGAGATTGACATGGATTATGGAAGATGAAAAGTGTACGCAAAGGAGCTAGACTAGGCGAGCCACGCTGAACGCGGTCCCTTACACGTCCTTAGAGATCGGTTCCCACTCCGCTTTTGGGAGAAATTTCTTACGGACAGCTTCCGGAAGGTGAGCGATCTGCTCCTCGACGGTAGCACAATTAGTTCATCGGAGGCAGGCCGGTTCGGCCTTGTCCAAGCCGTAGCTGCTCACGTAGCGGGTATGGTTTTTGGGTGGCGGGGTCGAGCTGACTCTTGCCCATGATAATCCAATGACAATCGCGGTGAGGAATGTCCCAAACGCAAACTTCCCATTCAAAGACGGTTTCCCCGACGCCCATTTGGACACAGCGCTTCTTGAGGGACCGACCTTTCGTGACGAGAGATTCGTGACGTTTGCCACGGCGAGATTCAGCTAACACCGCAGATTTCGGGAGGAATTCCAAAAGAAAGATGACCCAGTGTAACATCTCCCATTGATGACGCATTCACTCACACATATTTTCGACCCATGTGTCGAGGGCGCCTTGTGCAGCCGAAGTCACTTTGGAACGCTTGTGGAAATATAGTTACTTTGGACAATTTCTCCACATTTCTTGCCATGGAGCCTCTCGAAAACTCTCTCTATACTCTTCGAAATACTCTGTGGAACGCCTCTGGAGTGTGGGCTGGAAACCCGGTGTCTGTCCAATAGGCGAATTGATGGACTTGTCACACCACTTCATGCGTACTTCAAAGTGTATCCACGAACGAACCTCGTCATCCAAGGGACTTCAATGATCATCTTTTCATCCACCGTCAAGTGCTCTTTCAGAGCCAAAGCGGTACAAGTCTTCCACTGGTGTTGACGTTTGGCGGGATTCTTCGCCTCCGCACGAGCAATACGACGTCGCTTGGTTTTGGCGCGACTACTTTAGGATGGAGATTCCGCCATAGGATCGTCATAGTCGTCGTCATCATTTCCATCGTCGTCGACATCATTGGTCCAGTTTTGATCCGTGGGATCCTCACTTTCGGGATTCTGCGTCTCATCATCCAGGAGATCTTCAGCAACGGGCACGAGAGGCCCCCAAAGGTCAGGGTATTCGTCATTTTCCAAAAGTGAATCCAATTTGGCACGTGCGACCACGAAATAACGACGAGGAACGTATTGGGTCCAAGAAGTACCATCAAGCTCGTTCCAGAACATCATCCTAAGGAGTATTTCCAAAAGCGGACCCTGATGAAAACAACCGTGAACAGGCCGATCCTCGCCAAGCCTAAAGAATTAAGGCGCAAACATCCAAACGCAAATGGCTCCAAATTACTGGGAATGGTTTCAACACACGAGGTCCATCAACATCACGAAGCAAAAGATCGCCATCCGGACGACAAGGGTCATTCGACTCGCGAATCCATTCAGAAGGGTATCTTGGATTTCTGTTGGCACGTCAGGTGATATCTGTTTGCGAGTTTTCTTTGGACTTTTACATGAACGTTTACGCTTAGCACCATTTTTAGAAGAACTAGCGATCTGGGCACCCGCTACGCGGGTGCTGTAGGTATGTTTTTTGTACCTGGTTATTTTGTTTCGCTCGCTCGTCGTTAAACCCAAGGATTATAGCACTTAGATTTCGCACAACTTGAACTACCCCGGCAAATCTGATACACCAGTTACTGTTGTTAGCTGGAGATGAATGTTATATCATCAACTTAGTATTAACCGCTACTTCAAATACCTGTAGTATTATGGGCAGTTACCATAGCACGATTGATTGTTTAATGGTGGTGCCGCCAGCCCCGCATGTAGCTATGTTTCAATTTGACTTTGTCTGCACAAAGCTGCATACCGGATCGTATT